TTTTTTTTATTAAGTCCCTCAAAAAACATGATAAAATTTGAAGTTACTAATAACAAACCTAAGCTGCTTAGAATATCATGGCCCCACAAATTTACTGGCAAGATGTCTATAACATAAGCCTTGAAAATTCCAGAGTTACCATCTTTATCACCCCAGTGAAATATTGATCTCTTTGTGCAGACTGAGATCTGACCTATCCCCTCCATGTTGGCAGGTGCAATATGTAAAGGCCAGCCCCTAGGCCATAATCTACTAAATAGAACAGATCTATCAGCCCTTTATCTATGATACCTAATTTTTTATGATTAATTTTAAGACCCAGTAGAGGGCATTCTTGCTGAACTAATTGAGCCCAGTACACTTGGTCTAGGGACCCAGAAGTTGAGGTCTACTCTGGGCCTTCCATGGAATGACAAGGCAGGAGTGTTAGCTGTGCCAATAATCTCTTAAAGAGAGCTAAGTAGCAGGCTCTGACTGCATAATAATTTCAATTTTATCTCTAAAATTTGAATCAATCATTCCTGGCAGCACCTGAATTCCCTTTTTTAACTTGTTTCACCCCAAACATCAGTCTATGGTATTTGCGGGTACTGGCCCATGAACTCCAGTAGGGACTCAGTTGGCCACACTTAAGGCATTAAAATAATTACCAAGGTTGGCCATAAGTGTAAAGTCTTGGTGGAGTTGGCTGGTAATAGTTAGGAGCTGGCATCACCAATCCTGATGATGTCATAGTCTGTGACTCCTCTTCCAGTGTATATTGCAGTGCCCCTACTGTTTGGTGGGCCCAGGGCAGGCCCAGCTCCCAGTTTCCTGGCCCCGGGAAGAGGTGAAGGCCGAATTGGCTGTGAACCACCGCCAACATATCTATCCAAATCTTCGCATGCCATGCAGTCATCTCCCTGGTAGTGCCATCTGTGCAAACTGGGAGAGGTCTCTGCCCTATTGTGCAGAGTTCCGTAGTTTCAAGCCATTTACCCAGTTCTAACAAAATTGGAACAGCACCCATGAAAATGCCAGCTCTGAGACTTAGGTTATAATACCCGCTTCAAAGCCGCAGAGAGCGTTACACCCTGTAGCTGTGTGGGACCCAAATCCACACGAGGGTCAATGAACTTTGAGACAATCCCCCTTTTTCAATGGGGTTGAAGGATTTCCTGACAAACTTTGTTAGCATTCTCAAATGCTAGCAGCTTGAATAGAAACTCAGAAGTATCCAAGTCTCCCATTGATCTCTTTGCTGCCTGGTATAGATATTCCTCCAAATCTGAAAATGACTCCACTGATCCCTGTTAGATCTGACTAAAATCCAAAGTTGATTCACCCTGATTAGGTAGCACTCTCCATGCCCTTTTGGAACATGCAGTAATTTGATAATATATGGCCAGATCATAATTTAATTGCCTTTCCAGATTTTTTAATTCTCTAGTTCCAGTTAACATCTCCAAAGTGGCATCAAAGCCTTGTTTCTGGTTTCTCTCAGACTGTTCAGTGCAATAATCAGTCCAGTGAGACAACCAACAGAGATAGTTGCCACCTCCCCCATAAAAAAAAATTTGGCCATAGCAATCCAGTCATGTGGGGGTAAAGGCTCTTTGCATAAGAAATCAAGCCAACTTTGAACAAAAGTGAATTTGGACAG